CCAACTTATCTCTAATTATCTGAAATTTCACACTCCAACTTAAAAAGAAAGAAGACTATAACTCCATTTTCTTAACAGTCTATCCTAAATTTAGATTACATATTTGTATTCTTATTCATCTATATTTGTTTGAGTTGTTTTAAAACATTTCCTGCTCAGTCCTCCCAACTCATAGTTTCCCTTTGGCTTTCCCCTCTTTCTCTGTTTTTTAAAATCTCTCTCTTTTTTTTACTACTTAAATTCTTTTATTGTTACATTTTAGGTATACAATACAGTTATAGTCATCATTGGAATCTTGTACCTTTACATGATGCATCTTGGTTCTTATTTTTTCCCCATTCCTAGCCCTCCCTTCACCCCCTCCACCCTTCCCTATTTACAAAGACTTTGTTTCCATTTTTTCCATTTCTCATCATTTTTCCTTTCTCTTCTTTCCTTTCTCCTGCCCCTCCCACTACCCCTACCCCTTTGGGCCTTTTCTTCCTATTTTGCATTATCGATTATTCATTCTAATCATTGGTACATTTTAGGTAAAATCTCTTTAAGAGACAAAGTATGTAAAGCACCAGTGTGCAGCCTGGAACAAGTAAATTTTCAACACTTAAAATTTCTTAAAGCAAGGGAATCAACAATAAAAGCTTTGCATCCACAAACAAACAAACAAATCACCTCAACTTAAATCCTCAATTGAGATGTGGCCCTTGTCACAGCCCTAGGCGACTATCCCGGATGGCCAAGCCAGCTGCACTGCAGGGGAGGTCGGCTCAGCACAGCCTCTCCCAGGGCGCCCCTTGGACACTGCCCCACTGCTCTGGCTTCCTTATTTTCTGTATAGTGTTGAAGATGGATATTTCCAAGCTGAAGTGGATCTTTAAATATTTCTTTGCTTAAAAAATATTGTAATATATATGTGTACCAATCCGCAAGGCTGAATATAATTGTTATGCGTTGAAAACTGTTAACTAATAAAAAAACTAAAAAAATACAAAAACTAAAATCATTAAAAAAGAATATTGCAATGTAGATTGTTTCTGCTTGCAATATTTTTACATACTGTGAGATCATGTACTTCATTTTTAAATACTTTGAGTATTTTTTAATACTAAAAGAATTTACTCCTAAATAGTAACTTATTTCTTCATTTGAATGCACACATACTGCTAGTTTGAAGCTCCATATCAAATGCCATTTGTCTCAAGAAATTTTCCCTAATTATTCCAGGAAGAATGCAATATTCCCTCAACTGACTTGCCAAAGGAGATAATAAATGCAAATTCCACCACTGTTAGGCACACATCTTTTTGCTTTGTAGGTTTTGTTTTAATTTTTTATACACATATCTCCTGTTCCCAAAGAAAATTAATCATTTTTAGTCATATTTGTATGACTTTCCTTGGGCTCATTGTTCTCTACATAATAAAGATTCAATGCCTATTAGTTAAGTAAATAAAAGCTGCTGTGGAAATCACAAACTGGCAACAAAATTTATTGTATTACAACTGAAACCAATCCTTGGAGATAATTTTATCCTTCAACTTGAAGAAAATTGCCTCATTAATTTAATTCCTATAACTGACACCCCACAGTTCTTGGCTCCTCCTCATTCCCTAGTATATTTCTTTAATGAAAAAGTGCTGATGATTAAAAGAAATTTTAAAACTGACTGTACAAAAATGTAAAAAATAAAAATAATTCTTTCCAATGTTGCAATATCACTATAACAAATATTATCACTAGGCGTTTCTATTTTGTTGCCATTTTTTCTTTAAACAATGTTATAGTTTTACTTTATTGAGGAAAGAGAACTTAACCCGAAACCTACCCTCAAGAAATTTTAAGGATACTGCGTAATATTGTTAACTCTGGGAACAGTGTTGTACAGCAGAGCAACAGAGCTCGTTTATCTTGCATAAGGGAGATTTGTGGCCTTCCTCAACAGCTCACCATTTCCCCAGTTCCCAGCCCCTGGCAGCAGCCCTTCTACTTTCTGCTTCTGAGAAGCTGACTATTTTAGATGCATCACATAAGTGGAATCACATGGGATTCATCCTTCTGCCACTGGCTAATTTTGCTTAGTATAACATTGTCATGTTTTATCCATATTGTAACACATGACAGAATGTCCATCCTTTTTAAGGCTAAATAATATTCCATAGTATCTGTGTATCAAATTTTCTTTATCCATTCATCTATGGACATTTATATTGCTTCCACATGTTGGGTGTTGTGAACAGTGCTACAAATGAACATGAATCATTGATGAATACTGATTTCAATTCTTGAGCATAAACACCTAGAAAAGTAGGATTTCTGGATTTGTATAATAGCTTCACTTTTTATTTTTTGAGTAACCTTCCATGCTGTTTTCCAGTGATTCCATCATTCACATTCTATCAGCAGGATAGAAGGGTTCCAGTTTCTCCACAGCCTCTCTAACCTGCATTTTCTTTTTTTAATCAGAGCTTTCCTAAAACATATGAGATGATCCATCATTGTGGTTTTTTATTTGAAATTTTCTGATAATTACTATAGAGCATCTATTCACATACCTGTTGTCTTTTTATATGTATTCTTTGAGGGAAATGGGAAGTGTCTATTCAAATAATTAGTAATTTTAAACAGATTATTAGTTTTGGGAATTTCTTGCCATTGAGTTGTAAGAATCCTTTATGTGCTTTGGAAATTAACCCCTTATCTGATGCATAGTTTGCGAATATCTTCTCTCATTCTGTAGGTAACCTTTTCACTCTGTTGATTGTTCCTTTGTTGTGCAGAAGCTTTTTAGGTTGATACAATCCAACTTTTCCATTTTTGTTTTTGATCCCTGTGTTTTGGTGTCATATCCTTGAAGTTCCATACTTTTCCTATGCCTTTATATACATATTGATGGAGTATAGTGTGTTGACAAAAAAGAATGACTGGGAGATAAGAGACCTATTTTTCTAGTCCTGATGTGGTTATCAACATCTACGAGATGAGTTAATTTTTGTAGGAAAAAATATGAAAATTTAATTTTTCATTATTCATACCTAAATTGTTTTGGGGGCAAAATGTATTTTACCCCTTAAAGTCACATAATGGATTTCATATGGCAGTGTAGTTAACTGATCTTTTTTTTTTTCAGTAGTATTGGGGATTAAGCCAAGACCTTTGCACTGAATTATATCCCAAACTTTTTTTTTAATCTTGAGAAAGAGTTTCACTAAGCTGCTGCTTCCCCTAGACTGGGCACAAATTTATGGTTCTTCTGCCTAAGTGTTCAACGTGTTGGAATTATACATGTATGCCACCATACCCAAATGAATTTTCTGTCTTTTAAATGGCTAGGAAGTGACATTAAGAAATATTATTTTAAATATACATTCACGTATGACATCTTTATAATTTAAGATTAATTATTTGATACATGTTACAAATTCTCTTTCCTAGGATGCCATTTCAAACAATTCTTTTGGTTGTTTATTTTGGTGTATGGAAGTCTTTGTTTTACTTATTTATTTTTCTTTTCTTTGCAAATCATTTATTGGTACCATATATATATAATATATATACCATATATATATATAATGATTCAAATTTATTAATCTTTTCCTTTTTGGTGCCTGAGTTCTGCAGCATGCTTTAAAACACCTCTCCTAAATAGTCCATTTTAATTTAACACTATGTTACCAATTATTACCTCTCATGACTTGCTCTATACTTTGGCCACATGATTAAAATTATGCTTCTTACTTACTAAATAGGTGTGGGGTAATCTAGAACAAAATCATACAAAAATGAAGTAACATAATAAATAAGGTCAAAGAATAAAATGAAAGTAATAATATAAGTAGAAAATCATAGTTGGGGCACACACACATCTCCATCTGAAATCCACACTGGGATAAGTTGTTAGGTAGAGATCTCACTTTATTTTTCCAGGTGCCTATCCCTACTTGTTATAAACTATCTATTATGTAATCTGTGCTTTCCACACTAATATGAAATGACAGATGTATTCTTAAAACCAGGCTTTCATGCAAGATAATTTTCCAATAAGCCCTCATCTTACCGTTGCCTCTTACCAATAAATGAGTCCTCACATATCTTTAAAGCTCCTCTTTTCCATGTCTTAACCTCACCCACATCTGGGTGACAGCTGTTCCTGTGAACTCCCGGGGATAGCCCTACCATCACATCCTCATGAGAAACAAGCTAAAGAAGAAGCTACATGAATTGTTGATCTCCGAAATTATGTTCAGCACTGTAGGGCCTTGAGGGTTGATGTAATATATTTGAGGAAAGTTGACTAACTTTGTGAATTTATTTCACCTTTGAATTCAGTCCAGTCAGTGTGCTCAGCAACATGGCAAAGAAGTCTGTGTTCCTGAGAGTATTGCCATTGAAAGTAGCCTTCATGCCATGATAGCTTTCCAATTTCCTTCTGACAACAATGGAGCAAGATTCATTTCTTTGAGATAACTGGAAATTTTCATCTATTCACAAGGCAAATGAGATGCAGTACAGTGTGTTGACAAAAGAGAATGACTGGCAGGTAAGACATCTAGTTTCCAGTCCTGATCAGACCAATGTGTCAGGAGACCAACTCAATTTATTTGAGTCTCAGCTTCCTTTATCATCTATAGAAGATAGTTGGACTATATGTTTCTTAGCTTCCAGCCAAGAATAAGACTATGATTCTGCAATACTTTGGTCCTTCTATTTGTTAATTTAAAACATTTTTGCAGGTAAGCCAAGCCCTTTCTTATGTGCCGAAAATTATTGTGGTCATGGATGAATAAGACAATTATTTTGTTATGAAAAAATTACTATGTTATGAATGTTACAAAAGGAATGAATATATTTGGAAGAGGGAAGAAGAATGGAATAGATCAGCAGGAACTGGCTGGAGACTATGCCTGTTTCTCCATTCCAAATTGGAATGCCAGCTTTGTGATGTACTATAACTCTACTGTTAGGATTATTCTAATGATTCTGCTCAATGTTAAGGATTCCTGGGTTTGTGTAGAACAAACACTTCATGGAGGCGGTAGTTCAGAAAGCCTTATTCCATTGATGGCATTTTGAGTAATTCTAGGGCTTTTTTCAAGACCTTTACTTAGGATTAACTCCCAGTAATATTTTGCTGCTATGCTCCTTCAGTAGCCCAGAAACAAATTAAGCAATCGAGGCCACCTCTCTTCCTTTTTAAAACAATACAACTCTTCCATCTTATGTTTTTTTTCCTTAACTTCTAACCTCATTTAATTCACAGATACTGTACAAGGGAAATATGTTTAAAACATATTGAGTCAATGAGCTCATTAAGGCAAGTTTTGGGTAGGATGAAGAAAGGCAGACAAAGAAACATTTGGGGGCAGAAAACTTCATTTTATCAAAGGTCAAGATAAAAAAAAAAACACACCAAACATTCTGGGAAAGAAGGATGAGTTACTGCCTTGAATGTCAGAAAAAAAATTGATAACTTGAGTAATGGAGGCCCATGGAGCTGGAGATGACAGGTACAGAAAAATATTATGATGAATTTAGTGGGAGGGTCAAACAGTGAGACCTGAGGAAGGGTGTTAAGATCCTCCTCTCTGGCATACAGTACATAGAAGGTGGGCCGTGACAAGAACTGATTCATGAGTGTGGTGAATTTATAGTATTGGGCACTAAGCAGAGTGTTCACTGTGCACAACCTTTAGACTATACATTTACATTTTCATAGGTCTAAGAACAACACTCATTTATTTTTTGTCCAGTAAGATTTAATAGATAAGAAATTTGAGAATACCTACTTCGCACATTTTGAAAGGGTGAAAATAAGTGAATAAAACTATATTTATACTAAGATATTATTCCTTCCATCCATTATATAGTGTAATAATCTCTTGAGAAGGCTTCCAAGAAGAATGTCACTTTAGATGTTTGCCATGATGGCAGATAGGTGACCATAACTTTGGGAATCTGAAGTCAAGGAATATTTCAATGGAATGGCTCTCTTTTGTTAGGATGAATAAAATTAAACAACAATACACCATGCCTGATAAGGAAGCAGAGAAATTGACCTTGGGTCAAGCAAAGAAAATGGCTGAAAGAGAAAAGGAATGAATATTACAATCTTACTCTGAGTTCTCAAGTAGGTTCTACTTGTGCAGGTTTTCAAAATATTTAGACAATATTTTCAAGTCAGATATTATTAGACATTCAAATTTACCAAATAACTCAAACTTTTAGCCCCAAACCAATGTATTTAAATGGTTTTATCGTACTATGTGTATGCAATAACCAACTCTCAAAATTAAAACTCTATTAGGAGCAAATATCCTTAGTATCCTGTGTGTGGCTTGCATTGAGAGAGATTCAATAAAAGTTTGTTGTGAACCCAGTGTAAAGGATTCCACATTGAGTCATAATTGCCTTTGTGTTGGGAGCTTATATGTCAATGGGTGAAATCAGGCTGAGAGGAGAGTAAGAGTTTCTTGTAATAACAGCATAGCAACTTGTTATTCAAAAGAGAACCACAGAGAGGATTTCTCTAACACCAGAACAGAAGTATAGCCTTGCTCTGATGTCCATTCTTGAGAAAATGTCTACAGCAGATTTGATGGAGAATCTGAGGGAAGAACTCACTTGCTTCATCTGCTTGGACTATTTTAGCAGCCCGGTGATCACTGATTGTGGGCACAGCTTTTGTCTGATGTGTCTCCTCAAGAACTGGGAGGAGCAAAACACACTGTTGTCTTGCCCTGAATGCTGGAGGACTTTGAGGGGGGCCTCACTTCCAGCCCAATGAGCAGCTGGGGAGGCTGGCTAGCATTGGCAGGCAGCTCAGGTCTCAGGTCCTGCAGAGTAAGGATGGCTCAGGCAGCTGTGGGAGGATGGTGGCAGCCACTTGTGTGTTCTCTGATGATGAGCAGAGCATCTCTGCTTTGCCAACTCAAAGTCATAGAATAAACAGAGTGCATCTCTCAAGTGAGGTTGAGGAGCAACATAAAGTAAGGCGGGCTGTTCATATAAATCTTAGAACACAAATCACATTCCACCCCTTAAGTCCCAAATATTCTCCATCAGTGACAATCATGGGTGCTCATCACCAGCACCACAGCAAAACTTGTGTGGATCTTATTTTTACCTTTTGCTTTAGAGTCCCAGCCATTTTCTAGTTCTTGGTTTTCAGCATCTCTTCAGGACCCAGTGTTTAGCTCATATGCCATAAAGTTTGATTCTATTGCAGGAGAAACTCCAAGAAATCTTAAATCTTTTGCATAAAAAGAAGGAAGCTCAAGCGGTCCTGACCCACGAGAAGGAGAGAATGATACTGTGTAAGGTCAGTGTCAGTCCTAGCTTGGATCTTGTATGTGATTCTGTGGGGTAAAGGGGACAATCAGGATACCTAGTGAGATGTAGAGGGGAAAGAGGATTTTTTTCCGCTGCCCTAATCCTGCATTGTCCACTTCCTTGCTATGGGCTGCCACCCTCTGTTTGCCCACCCTGGAATCTCATGTCTCAACTGAAATTTACCCATCCCAAACAGATTTATATTTTCCTTCTTTGTGCACCTAAGATACCTCCATTATGCCTTTAATTATATTTATTTAAAATACAAGTTACATTTATAGGCATATAGCATATGATGGAAATCAATTTTAAAAAAGGATTATCATAAATGGTTTGGGGGGAATAGAGAATGCAAATTAAAAAGAAACAGAAAGGAATATAAAAGCAAAATAGTAGTTTGAATTATACCTGAACAAATGCCTAAAATTAGACATGGATTTGGATTTATATTGCTTTGTAGTGAAAGGAAAGAAGCAAACATTTAATTAGATATAAAAATGTATCTGAGTCCCCTAATAGACTTTGAGTTTTTAAGAATGACTATTTGTAATGTATATTTTTATTTCTAGTATGTGATCCAATGTCTATTTTCATTAGTCAATATTTGTTGAATAAATACATTTTCATAATTTTCTCCTTATTCAATTTTGCCTTATTTTTAAAATAACAGTATTGATTACCAGCTATTGTACTTTCATGTTTATTTTTGGATTCTTCCAGGAGAATGACAAGTCCTGGGAATACACATTTTGGTTTTGTTTATTATTGTATCTATAGCACACACACCTTTAAAACCCTCAGACTCTTCACCCAGCTAGTCAGTAGAAGATGCATGCTATACCTCAGGTTTCAGGAGTGGCACAGTTGAACTGTAGGACTTTGTAAGGATTAGAAATCTATGGGTTGGGCCTGGAGGTTTCTGTTCCTAACTTTATTATTATTTGTGTGTATGTGTATGTGTGCATGTGTGACTCCAGGAAGAGACAAAGACTTTTAAACAGGTTGTCATGTCAGAATATATGAAAATGCACCAGTTCCTGAAGGAAGAGGAGCAGCTCCAGCTGCAGCTTCTAGACAAGGAGGAGAGGGAGAACTTGAAGAAACTGTGGGATAATGAAGTCAAGCTGACCCAGCAAGTCAGACACCTAAGCAAAATGATTGGGCAGATAGAGTGCACATATCAGAGCTCAAATTTAGACTCTTTTGAGGTGAGGCTAAAATTCATGATAGTATTAGACAAATCAATGGAAAAAATGTAGTAGGCCCCTTTCAAGATATAGGTAGTACATTTTAATTTTTTCACCTGAAAAACTAAGTTTTTTCCAAAAATTAGTTTTCTCAAAGAATTGACATCTATGTCAATAAAGTCTTGAGAAGGAGGAGAGAAAAAAAACCAGAATACCTATCCTAGTCCAACCCAGGATGATTGTGATTTCTTCTACACTTGCCCTTCTGCAGTCTCAGCATTGTAAAAATATTGTTTAATGAAGAAAAAGATGATATGATGCAGACTGTAGGTGATGGTCATCTATTAAGTGGGTGTATAGTGAGTGTCACTTACTTAACAGTTCAGATCTATGGCAGTAAGGTATTTGGTCAAACAGACAGTACTGTATGTGGCAGAACACAGGTGTCCTGTGTGCCGAGTGTATTTTCCATACCATGTTTGTTCTACTGCCTGTGTCGCAGCTACTGCATTCTGCAGGACCTTTCCAAACAAAAGCCATGTGACCAATTCCAAATTTAGGTCTGTTTCCTGGGTGATTCCAAAGGATTCCATTATTCAATTTATTGCCTTCCAAACAAACACCTGTGACTAAACATAGGCTTTGCCTCAGCTCTCACTAGGCTGTTTTCCTTTGCTTATCTCTAGCTCCATGAGGCATTGGATAATGAGAACAATATTTGTAGCCTTTGTTAATAAAAGGTTCAACAAAACAATGATATGAGAAAAACCATCAAGTATTCTCTAGTCACTGTGAAAAGTATAGCATGTTCACCAAAAACTGTCCCTAGATGGAACTGTTGATTTTTTTTTCCTACTGTACAAGCTCCTGCTCAAGGTGTGTGAGGACCCTGGGAAATGGGTCCTGTGAGCTAATTCTATGTCTAATGTCTATGTCTAATGTGTGGATATAGACATATGTGATGGGGATGAACAAAAACTAACCTTCTTTCCTTTATATCTTTAGGAAGTAAGAGGAGCCTTGGAAAGGTATGTTTCACTCTATGTCCAGTTGTGTAAGATGTGGGGACCAGATGCCGATAGAAAATTATGAGATGGGGATGAGCTTGTTTATGCTGTTGGGTGGAACGAGATGGACTCTCAAGTTGGACCTTGTGACATGGTCTGTGTTCAGGAGAGACTGAGGGTCTCTGCTATCTTACAGGAGCGAATCACGGCTGCTTCAATGTGCAGAAGCCACCACCACACAACTGAGTCAGTGCCAAGTCACTGGAATGAGGGAGATGTTAAGAAAATTCAGCAGTAAGTCAAACTGATATGCCAAACCTACAGAGATTTCCCAAGTTAACTTTTGTGTACATTCAAGGATGCATAACTGAGCTCCTGGGAAGCTTCTTCTAACAAAAGTGTTCACCAGCTGACACTAAGTACCATGAGCCAGCAGTAAACACCACATTGGGGGCACAGAGAGTGTCAGTGCAAAAGCAGTGACATTTGATCAATGTTCTGCCTGGCTTTGTTTTCTACCTAAGGAGGCCTGGACCTTGTTGTGTGTGTGTGTGTGTGTGTGTGTGTGTGTGAGAGAGAGAGAGAGAGAGAGAGATGTTGTACAGCCTTAAATTTGCACAAATACTTCTTATGCAGAGGTGTCTGCATTTTGAGCTCTGTTCCTGTTAGGATAAAAACTGATTTACTCAGGGTGCAGTGAGGGTACATTCAAAGACTATCCATGTAGAAGGCTCTAGACGTTTAGACTGGCTAAGGCTAAGACAGGTCAATATTAGTTCTCAGCTTTCATCTTGTTGACAATCTGCATTCAAAGGAAAGCTGAATGAGCTTTGGGCTTAAGAAATATTTGGTAAATGTCTACTATGTGCCCAGTGTTATATTATGGGGCGCTGAACCTACTTACACAGATGAATACAACTGAAAATGTCTTTGCTTTCATAGGATTTTCAGCAAAATTAAAAGGACAGACAATCACACAGATACTTAGCTATGGTTGGGGTTTGGTTTATAAATAAAAGTATGAATTTTTATGATGACACACTTAATCTTATCTGGAGAGTCACTGAAATCTGGAGGCTTCTCATGTGACCTCCTCCCAAGAGGACAGGAGAGGAGGCTTCTCACTGGCTTACAATGTGCTTTGTCAGATTGTCACTGGGAATTCCACTAATGCATATGAAGTTATATTTTCTTTTTTTTTTTTTTTTTTTTTGGTACTGGGAATCAAACTTGGCACCTTCTGCTTTTGAGGCAGGCGGTGGAACCACTGAGCTAAATCCCCGGCCCTGAAACTATATTTTAATATAGCATAATGCAAATATGGGTTAGGAACCGCTATTCAAATACCCCATAAATTTGTAACCTTGATGAAGTTTCCCAATCTTTATGAACTTCAGTTTTCTTATTTATATAAATTAGAGAAAGTAAAACTTGTAGCAATTAAAATAGATGCCTAGCGATTGCTTGGAACATTAGGAGGAGTATAGCAAATGACAAGTGGCCCTATATTTTCCCATCTAAATGAAGCATCAGAGCCAACCATGGTTAACATGAATACCTACAGCAAAGGATATCACCACATAACACTCTCCTGCTTACAGTTAGAAGTTCACTCATTGTTTTGTGGAACAGTGCAAAATGATCTCGGAGATTCTGTTCAAAATAAAACACACTCTGTCCCCCATTACAACTCATCTAAGTTACTTTTTTTTTTTGCAGTATGGGGGATTGAATTCAGGACCTTGCGCTCGTGAGGCAGGCGTGGTGCCACTGAGCTAAATCCCCAGCTCTATTTAAAGAATTGGACTAAATACCAAGAACTTAGTTTAAATTCCACATATATAGGAGGGTTCCCAAGAGTATCAAAGGAGGATTCACTTTTTTCTCCTCTTGCAGCAGAGATCACTCTGGATCCAGCCACAGCCAGTGCCTATCTAGTCTTGTCTCAGGATCTGAAAAGTGTGAGATATGGAGGAAGCAGACAGCAGTTACCCAACAACCCAGAAAGATTTGACCAGTCTGCAACCGTGTTGGGAGCTCAGATCTTCACCAGTGGGAGACACTACTGGGAGGTGGAAGTGGGAAACAAGACAGAGTGGGAAGTGGGGATCTGTAAGGACTCTGTGAGCAGAAAGGGGAATCTCCCCAAGACCCCCGGGGACCTTCTCTCACTTATAGGTTTAAAAATTGGAGAGGATTACAGCCTGTGGGTCTCATCACCTTTGAAAGGGCAGCATGTCCGAGAGTCTGTGCATCAGGTTGGTGTTTTCTTAGACTATGAGTGTGGACATATCACATTTTACAATGTGACAGACAAGTCCTTCATCTACAGTTTTCCTCCAACCCCTTTCCAAGATGCACTCAGGCCTATCTTTTCCCCTTGCCTCCCAAATGAAGGGACAAACACAAACCCTCTTACCATCTGCTCACTGAATAGCCACAACTGAGGGACACGTCCCCAGGCCTCTGATGGGCAGGAGGTCCAGGATAAGCAGATGACTGTTCATTAAGATGATGAATGCATTGCAGATCTTCACATCAGGTTATCTGAAAGAGAATTTCCCCTTCCCCCAAGACTCTCCATGAATCTGAGCCCACAATGAAAAGCCAATTAGAAAATCAAGTTCAACATCAATAAGAGAAAGCTGATCATATCCTGTGTCTCTAACCAAACTCTCCAACTAGACTGCCCCACATATTTGCTGATCATTCCAAATATAGATCTAGAAATAGCCCCTATTATCTTGAACCCCACTGTCAGAGGCCAGTTTTATAAATACATGCCGTTTTTTCAAGTGCATTTATTTATTTGACTCTTACAAACTGTACAGTTCGAATGTGTCTTTGTCCTATGTGCAGAGATCTGCATGTGGGGAAAATGTTAAGTCTCCCCATTCTTTTAAAAAATCATATTCAGCTATAATAAATATAGAAATTTAAACAAATAGCGATAGTAGCTGGTTAAGAAATCTAGATTCCATTACATTAACATAATTGAAATAGATATTCATTTCTATTTCCTAAAATTATGTACCATCTTAATTTACCAAAAAAAATTTCAAATCTCCCTATTCTCAGTGGTGGTCAGTCCCTATAGATTTACTCTTCTTTTTTGGGTACCGAGGATCGAACTTGGGACCTTGTGCTTGCGAGGCAGGCAGCAGAACCACTGAGCTAAATTCCTGGCAATTTACTCCTTTTTTTTTTCAGTGTTGCGGTTTTAACCCAAGGTCTTTGCACTGCACTTTATCCCCAACCCTTTTACATCTTTTATGTTGAGACAGGGTCTCACTAAGTCACTGTTTCCTGGGGTAGGCTCAGCCTGCCATCCTCCTGCCTCAGAATCCCAGAGTGCTGGGAAGACAGGCCTGAGCCACCACTCCCAGCTCTTTTTTTTAAGTGAAATTCTACCTTGCTCACATTGCAGAAAGTCATCAATCACAGAGGGTTCTCCGTTATTTCCTTTCAGCACTCAAGTCAATGTCATAAAATAGACAACTAAAATTTTCAAGAAAATAAAATTTTTCATAGGTTTTGGTCTTTAAATTGTAGTGTGGGCTGGGAGGAAACTGATAATCAAACTTCTTAATCTACCCACAAGGCCCTAAAAAAGTTATAAGTAATGGGGCTTATTTTAGGGTTTGTTTTCATTCTTCTCTTTGATATAAATCTGTTTTTTCTTTCAACTCTGTTCATTTCACCTATCACCTTCAAAGGCAGAGAAGCAGATATGAACTAGGCTTAGAACCTCAGAAAAAATCTTCTTCTGAGGATTTGCATATTCGTCCTTCCATCGTACACAATTGGGATCAAAGATCTGTGGGGTAGGAGAACCTACACATCCTCTTTTGATGATTTACGGGTCTCTCTAATTGTTATTTTATTGATATATTTTTATTTCTTAATTTCTCATATCTGAAAGCTAGGAAGCAAATCACAAAATGAAAACACCAATCATTTGGTATAATCTTCCTTGATTACAAACAATAACACAAGAATTTTGTTGGTAAAGGAATATGAAAGCAATACATTTTAATTTATTGTACATTGCATTTAATTTTAGTAGGCCACAACACCTTTTGTTTTCTTCTTCTTCTTTGTCCCCAAAGAGTTGACATTGTCAAGGAAACAAGCCTGCACCACCACCAGCACCCGCTCTGCAGTTATCTTGAAGGAGTCTTTGCTGCACCATTGTCTACACTGGGTCTGTCACAGGGTGTATGTGAAAGATTGAATCTATATTCCTTTTCACTTTCTGAGTTTGCATAACAACCATGAAAAAATTATGGCAAAATTTTCCCTTTAGCTTTCCAGAAATGAAAACCAAACCAAGCAGATGTAGTGCCAAAGAGGAAACAGAGCTTGCCCAAATGGAAAACTGAGAAGTGTGCCTGCCATTGTTATCTGTGGCACTATTCAAGAGCCTTGGTCTCACTGTCTAGGACTGTGAAAAATGACATTTCCTTGAGGATGGATGGTGTCCCATGTGGGGCCTCCCACCATTCCACAAGCTGCCTCCTCCTCCTCCTTTTCCCCTTTTAACTACTTGTCTCCTCACCCACTTCCACCTTCCACCCCTTATGATTTGATGGTAGTTTCTCCAGAAGACTGTAATTCACAAGTAAATTCTTATTTAGTGGGCATAACTAAAGTGGAATCCATGATCATTGCCATTTTCTTCTCTATTTCTCTAAACTTAGCTCAAAGGAAGGGTAGGTGTTTAGTCCTGAGGATCAAAAACACCAAGAGTGTTCTTCCCCATTGGATTACAGTTTGACTACTTTATTTTGGACTTTTTTGTCCTAGAGTATTTTAAATATAAGTAGTATTCATCTCTGAAGTCTAATTTATTAATAAAATGTAGGTTTTCAGGTGAGATCTTTACTTTCCTACTCTTATTATCTCTTGGTGCTCCCGCTGTAAGGACATAACTGCAGCCTATCATGTTTAGAAAGCTTTGGTAACTTCTATGATTGGGTTACTTTTCAAGTCTGTTTTGCATTAATTTAACTCAAGAATATGCTCATTCTGCCCTTGAATTTGTCTCACAGGGTAAGGAAATGAAAAAATCTTGAAATGTGCACAGAATAAAATAATTAATGCTTATGTTCCAGTATCTTTGTAATCTTTTGTATCTTTCTTTTTTATTTTTACTTAGTACATATTTGCAGTACTTTATTCATATTAGATATTTTTTGAAAATATTACTTTTTATCTTTAAGTATGTAATTATGTATCTTCCAAGAATTAGCACATTTTATAAATTACATTTGATGTATCTGAATATTTATATTTAATAAATGATATAATGATACTACCTAATAAATAGTCCATATTAAAAATTTTCTCCTTGTCCTTGTAATGCTTTTCATAGTCTTTTTTTTTTTTTTTGTCTTCCAGCATCCGGAAATAATATAGGAGCAGGTACTGAATTTAATTATCTTGGAAAATATGATTTTTTAATGGAACTAATATTTCATTATATGATGTTTCCTAATTCACTTAATCATTTCCATACCGTGGAACATTTAGATTGTTTTCTGTTTGTAGCTATTATAAATGACACTGTGGTGAGCACAAGTGTACATAAACCTTTGGAATGTATCTCTAATTATTTCCCAAATATATCTCCTCCTGGCAGGAAAGTACCCTGTAGACTCTGTGGCTTTATGCAGGTAGTTTGCACATCTCCCCACAAAAATTCTACCTGCACTGCAGGTGGTCCCAAAAGTTTTCCTCCCATCAAAGGGGCAGACACACTAGCTTTGAGACGAGTTGAAGAACCTAATCCCCACTGTGCTGTGGTTTTACAAGAAGCAATGCAATTATAATCCAAAAAACTATCCTAGGAAGACTTGGATTAATCCTTGGGTTTGGAAATCAGCCAATTTGGTTTGAAAGCTTGACTTCACCATAAACTAACTGTTTTAACTTCCACATGCAGTATTATTTCAACTCTTATACCCTTAGCTACTTAAAAATTTTGGGGAAATATTTACTTGCTTGATGACTATGTGAGAACACATAAAAACAATTAATGTGTGGACCACTATGAATTTTTGTTAGTTTTCCCCTCCCTTCTTTAGAGAAACCCTTTTGTAATTATCCTTCAAGGGGACAGCTTATATGAAATATGGAAAATGTTGGCTCTAAAATCTTTGAAATATTTTCAGGAAGGTGTTTCTATATTAGCAAGACAAGCATTAACCCAAAATTCAGGTAGAGAAAAGGAAAAACCTATTTGGATTATTTTCTCATAGAAGTCCTTTTCGACCTTCATGCCTGTGAGTAGCCCTTTATGTAATTAAAAAATAGAGTTATATAATAAATAGTAAATAAATAAAATGAAAACTTTTAAAGTGGTAATCTCATTTTTCATTCTTCTAATCTTGGGAATCTCACACCTTTGCCCTGGATGGGTGTATGATAGGTTATGAACTTTGCTAATCATTAGCTGTGCGGTCACTTGAAGCACTGTAAGCACATGGACAGGCTGATGTAGCCTTTGTGACCACTGTGCTCATCAGTGGTATTCAAGTAAATTTGAGATGTCCTGAGATATGAGTCCATCAGCCTTGCTAGGGTACTGCCTGGGATGGTCACTACCAGCTGTGAGGACTGCCATTTGCTGGAAAGAGCGAGAGAGGGCTGAGGTCCTGACACAGTGTTCTCCTTGACAGCTCACTGGATGGAACAATGTTCTGTGAGGCCTGAGACTTACACAAATGAACGTATTATAAAATTAGGTCCAGGATCTTAGAGGGTCTCATACCAACATGGGACCTGAATTTCAAGTTTCATTGCTTCCTGGTACATCTGTCTCTGGTAGGCCAGATGCAAGGCAGTAAAGCCAGGCCTCATAGGTACAAATTCTGGCTCTGTGACTGACTGTACCACTCTGGGAGAGTTACTGATCAAAGGAGACAGAGAGAGAGAGAGAAGAGAAGAGAGAGAGAAATAGGGATCAAAATATCAACATAAATGACAGTTACTCAAATTCTGACTAAAATAAGACCAAAGTGAAATCCAGGGAAAGGGAATTTTGTAGAATTCTTCACATGAAGATAAAGTTAATAGATATAAACACTTCTACATAAATTTGAAATGAAGTGTCAATCCCCAGTTTAAACTTCTATGGGGAGAGAGAATTATGCGTAGCCTATGATTTTAAAATAACGATGCTGGTATGTAGATGTGTTGAACAATAATCTGTTGATTTAAAGGAACCACTCAAAAGGATTTTTAAAAATTTAATGACATAGAGTTTTAAAATGAAGGGCCAAAAGAACACATTGGTCTTACAGAGTTGTAGTGGGTACTTTGGTGCATCTCCTCGGGCAAAGAGACTTGTCTGTGTTCCCTGCTAGACGTTCCCTGAGCAGACGAACTGCAGTTGTCAGTGCCTTCTGGAACTTCCTTGGCCACAGAGAGCCACTTCGCCCACGAGTACCCACTGCAATGACACAGTAGTGGTAGTGCATAAAGGCTGAACTAAATCAGTACTACTCCAGAAGTCGCTAATCTGGAATGTATTTTAGTTTTAGAACGCCCCCTGGGTGTGTATGGCGGCGGCACCCTGTCATTGCACCTTAGACTGAAACTACAATCCTGCTTTCTTCCTTGCCTTTAAAAATGTCTTGGTCTTGAGAACATTCCCCCCAAAAGAAATGATCTACTTACTAAACTCCCACTCAGTCTGCTTCACAGGAACCAAAACTATGCTGAAAGGCAAATATTTTTTGGAAAACTTTTACCGAAGTACATACAGAAACAGA